TTCTCCACAGGATTGCCCAACTGTGCAATTGCAGTGCCTTCCATAATTGAATATTCTGATCCCTTGCATACGTCACTAAGCTCTTGGAATGAGCATCAAGTGTGTTACTTCAAGTTCTTCTATGCCTCGTGGCTTCTATCTGTTAAGTGTCAATTTTGCAGGAGAGCAGTATTTTTAAAGTATTTCCCCTGAACTGCAGAAAACTTCAGTGCTGGGGAAGAGTCACAAATCTTGACATACTGAAAATTTGATCAGTAAAAGAAATGCTGTTCATCCCAAGACATTGTGGACTTTATTTTAGAAGGGAGGAAATGGGCTCATTACCAGAGAGCTAACTTTCGGCTACGTGGCTATGTGCCACTAAAACATGCACTGTAGATATCATGCTGTCTGGCCTTTCATTCTGCCAAGTTCAATTACTTTCTTAGTGCAGATCCTAGAATAACTTCAAATCTTTTGTACTTCTTACTGTCCACCCGAACCAGATTTCATTTAAAGTTCTAACTTGTACCAGATCCAGTTTAGTCATCATCCTCAACCACGGTCCTTTTCTCTCTTCATATCTTCCGCCTGCCAAAACTCTCGTCCAGTCTGATCTGGCATTTCTTAGTTTATGCAGTTATATAAATTATGCCTATGTTCTCTTGAATTTAGAAGATTTAAGGAGTGAATTGATCAAATTCTTTGAGGTATCAACAGGAAAGGACAAGGTAGATAAAGATAAACTGTTTCCACAAGTTGGGGATTTTAAAACTAAGGGGCATAGTTTTAAATGTAAGAGTCGGACTGTTCAGGAGAGATGTTAGGAAGCACTTCTACTCACAAACGGTGTCAGAGGTTTGGAACTGTTCCACAACAGCAATTGATGCCAGATCAGTTAATTTTAAATCTAAGATGTTTGTTCAGCAAAGGTATTAAGGGATATGAGCCAAAGGAAGGTGTGTGGAGTTAGGTCATAGATCAGCCATGATCTCATTGAATTGAGTAGTAGGTTTTAGGGGTTGAATGGTGTATTCCTGTTTCACTTTTTTAAATACTTACTCTTGTGGTCAGTTTCCACCATGGCTTCATAACCTCCCTGTATCTCTAAAGGTCTTCAAATCTGGAACGTGCCAGGTTATCTGTGCTCTGTCAACTCTGGCCTGTCACCCCTCCATTGCTACCATACCTTCAATTTACCAAGGCCCTTCATTCTGAAATTCCCTTCCTAAATCTCTCTGGCTATCTTCCCTTCTTTAAGTTGCTTCTTGCAGACCTGCCTTTTTGATTAAGCATTTATCTACCCATGTGACTTAGCTTCAGACTTTAGCAGGAAGTGCTGTTGTGAAGAACCTTGGAACCATTGTATTACCTTAAAAGTGTAACTGCGAGTTCCGTTGATTTCTGTGCCTGCTATTTGGTTTTTTTTTGAAAATATCTTGCTCAAATGGCAAAGCTGCTTATGTGATCTGAAGCGATTGGTGTTACAGGCTGCTTAACCATGTTAGCTAGGTGGCACTAAATAGTGTCCTCACCGACTAACCCTTAGACATGCAAGTGCTAACAGGGGGCTGTGGAACCCTGCTTAACCTTTGTACTTCCCCTCCCAGGTTTTTCTGCCAAAGCCACCAATAGCACTCTGGTTGTATGCCATTGCACTGATCTACAGAAGTCAGAATGGATCAGTGATTATGTAGGAAACCGTTTCCTTTCCCACACAGCCATTACAAAATGAAACCTCTCCACTGCAGGCAGGGGATAGGGTGATGACCGGAGACTTCTTTTGTTTGACTGTTCCCATTTTCCCAACACACCGGCTCCATAAAAATCAGCAGCCCCTACCATGTATCATGGCTGATGGCTATTCCTTGGGAGTGAATGCAGCCAGCAAGTCTCACCAGACTATTCCACACTGTAGGCATCACAGTTGGGCATAATTCTAGATTCCTGCTTGAATTCTAATCTGAGTGTACAACAGGGTTGGGGTGAAATCGTGGGCTATCTCAATGTATAAAGCTCAGGAAATCGGACATTTGGATTGACTTTCCAAGTTAATCAGGAAACCATTCTGCTGTTCTATCAAAAAGTTCTTTGGCAGCATAGGTGACAGGCGCAGGGTTCAGGCATGTCGAAACATACAACTGCTAATCTCACACTGGTTGAAATTGTTTTAGGTATATGCTGGAAGTTAGGGGATGGCAGATGTGACAACAGCACTATGCCACGAACAGAGCTTAAGATATAGCTCCAAGATTCATGTAAAGTACTGCATGGGTTCCCCATGCAACCGTCAAATCAGGAAGCAATATGCCTGGTGTATATTTTAAACTTTGGAATGGCTGTCATGTTTGGTGCTCAGCCAGCAGTGAAACGGGATGATCTCTAGCAGAGTATGTTTCAGGCAGATGACAGCAAAGTAGTTTTCCTAAGCCCCTCTCCTGATCTGCAGTTCCTCACTGCATTACAGTTGCACAAGCGCTAGTTGGGCCCAGATTTATGTGTCAGTTGACTATTTGGCAGTTGAAGCATCACGCTCTGGTCAGATTCTATTGTTGCTTAATCAGTACATGTGGTTTAATCAGTCATGCAGTTAGTTATAAACTGTGGACTCAAGTCAGTAATACATGTATTTGACCCGTTTTGTCCATGCTGAATGTGTTGCTGCACAAAGAGACCTTGGAGTGCAGAATAATAGTTCCTTGAAAGTGGAGACACAGCTAGATTAGATAGTGAACAAGGCGTTTGGTATGCTTGACTTTATTGGTCAGTGCATTGAGTATAGGTGTTGGGAGGTCATGTTGCAGCTGTATAGGGTATTGGTTAGGCCAGTCTTGGAATACTGCGTGCAATTCCGATCTCCCTGCTGTAGGAAGCATGTTCTGAAATTTGAAAGGGCTCAGAGACTGTTTACAAGGATGTTGCCTGGGTTGCAGGGTTTGAGCTATAGGGAGAGGCTGAATAGACTGGGGCTATTTTCCCTGGAGTGTTGGAGGCTGAGGGGTGACCTTATTGAGATCTATAAAATCATGAGGGGCATGGATAGGGTGAGGACAAGGTCTTTTTCTCCCCGGGGTGGGGGAGTCCAAAACCAGAGGGCATAGGTTTAAGGTGAAAGGGGAAAGATTTGAAAGGGATCTAAGGGGCAATGTTTTACACACAGGTGGTGCGTGTATGGAATGAGTTGCAAGAGAAAGTAGGGGAGGCTAGTACAATTACCCATCCAGATGTCTTTTAAATGTTGTATATGAGTAGGAAGGGTTTAAAGGGATATGGGCCAAATGCTGGCAAATGGGACTAATTTTTTTCTAGGATATCTGGTTGGCATGGATGAGTTGGATTGAAGGATCTGTTTCCGTGCTGTATATCTCTGATTCTGCTTTTTGGAAGTGATCTATTCATTTGATTTTTCTTTCAGATACTTATCTGAATCTTTCTCTTTAAGCATGTTTTGCATTCTACTTCTGGCACTTTCAGTTGGGACATGCAATCTGTTGCATATTTTAAAAATAAAAAAATCCAGCATAGATTTATGCCTTTCTATTACCAAGCCATTCACTATGAGTGGATCTTTTATCCCTGTTAACCTTTTCCTAAGTGCTAACTATTTTGAGCATCCCATGATTCTGTCTTCTCTCACCTGACAAGAAGTCCCATTTCTCTGGTCATCATGGTCACTAAAGCCTTGCATCTCTGGTGTTATATTGATGAAAGTCCTCCGTGATCCTCTTTAACGTAAGGCAACCAAACTGGGTCGTGATAATCAGCAATGATTTGTACAGGCTTTGTATTACCTCTTAGAATCACTGAACACAAAACCTATTTATGAAACAGGCTCTAATTACTTGTCCCACTTTCGAAGACATAGCTTCTAAAGTCTCCTCTAATCTTAAACGCAACAAGTCGGTAAAACTTCCTAACTTGTATTCGCTGGAGTTTAGATTAGCAAGTGGTGACTTGATTGAATCATTTAAGCTCCCAATTTCTCTTTAAGCTGGGCAGTCTCTTGGAGCATCCATGCGTGCCAATTGGTGTGTGACCACATTAATGTCTGGTTCTGCAAGCCATTGCTGTGCACAGAACTGAGGTCTGCTTAACTGCAGGAAAATTTAGAGGGAATGTAGTTCTTGACAGGGTGCATGTGAAAAGGATGTTTCCTCTTGTGGGAGATTCTAGAACTAGGAGGCTGCTGTACAAAAATATGGTCTTGTCTTTTTAAGAATGACCGGGGGCATGAGTCTTTGGGGCACTCTCTTTCAAAAGCTTATAGAAGCAAAAATTTTTTTAAGGCAGTGGTAGATGAGTAAGGGTTGAAATGTTATTGTGGGTAGATGAAAATGAGGACTTCTCAACATCCACAATGTTACAGAATGACTCAAAGGGCTGAGTGACATACTGTTGCTCCTAATTAGAATGTTTATATGTCTTCTCTACCCATGTCTCCCAATTTGCCTTATCACTGTTTATCATTACATTCACCACTCCAGTTTTCTTGTTACTGTGCCTTCCTTTATCCACATTGCATTTTATTGTCACTGCTTTTTTCCCCCATTGTTAATGTTTTCATTCTTGAGTTGTGCAAGTCCCACTCCAGGACTTGTACACAACGATCTCAGCTGACTCTTCAGTGCATTACTGAGGGAGTCCTACATTGTCGGAGGTGCTGTCTTTTGAATAAGATGGTAAATAGAGGTTTGTTTGCACCTTGGATTTTTAAAAAGAAACCCACGTGTTTTGAAAATGAGTAAGGGATTTAACCCTGCTGACCTGCCTAGTGTTTAATCATGAGCCAGTGTTTAGGGAAAACAGATTATCTGGTCGTTGTCTCATTACAGATTTTTGCTGTGTGCAAATTGGTTGCATGTTTATGACATTAAAACAGTGACATGTTACTTATTGGCTGTCAACTGCTTTGAGAAATCTGATGCTAGTGAATGCTAGACTTTCTGTTCTTTCAATATGCTAATGTAGCAGTTTCTCACTGTCACATTATCTCTGTTCTTTTTCTTTTTGCTCCCATCTAGAGGTGCTGAGACCAATTGTAGTAACCCCTCCCCGCAATCATCCTTGAAGACAGTGTGTAACCAGCTGAGCTACTGGGGAAATTGTGAGTACAACTTTTGAATAGGTTCATTGGAAAGGGCAGTTTTAATTAATCCATTCTTATTCCATACTTTTGCTCAATGATCTCTTCAACTTCAGAGAATAAAGCTTTAAAAAGTTAGTCCTAACATTTGGAATGTAGCCCCTCTTTCCTTCCAGCCTGGTGAGGTTCTCCAGTGTCAGTGGCTATGCAGCTGTAATCTCCTCCTCTCCTCTCTAGTTAAATTATAAGTATGCAAAGTATTAGCTCATTGATCAAATGGTGTGGATGCCCATGGTTAAGCATAGCGAAAATTGCTGTGGTGGTGCCACACTGAATTGGCAGGTTTCCCACTGAAGTTTTGTGAAACAGGTTTGACTTGAGGTGGCGGCAAGGTTACTCCCATTTGGGGGAGGGTGGAGCAGCTGGATTCTTCACAATGACTGCATGTTAGAAAATATTACCCAGTGATAGGGAATGAGAGCCGATTTTATTTTGGCATGGGTAGGTGCTGAGATTCCAAAGAGTGACACTATCAGCATTTTCTTTGAGAGAAGATTAACAGAATAGATTGGAAAAACACAAGCAAGCAGACATGGGATCTAACTTAAACTGGTTAATGGGTAATGCAGGAAAATGGTGTCGTGCAGCCCATCATGAGAAATTTGATGGGTCAGGTCTCGTTGAGCTGAATGGTTTGTGCCTTTTTAATTCTTTTTAGGCATGTATGGATCTATACAAGAGTGACGATCCTTGCAAATCAGTTTAATTATTCAAGGCTCAAACTTTGCCCATGCTTCGTAAATGCTGCAGTCTATTAACACTTGTTCTCACTGCACGCTTAACAATATCTGCAGTTACTGGACCTATGCTTATTACAGATTCACTTTGTGTGAGTAAATTAAGAATGCAAACTTGCCCTTGATTTTGTTTCAGTGCAAATTTAATATTTTGTCAGCCAGTTGGAAATGATTTTGTTCTTGCTAAGTTGCTTATAGTTTAAATGCTTAGAATCCCTAAAGTGTGGAAGCAGGCCATTCGGCCCATCGAGTCCACCCTCCAAAGAGCAACCCAACCAGATCCACACCCCCCACCCTATCCCTGTAACCCTGCATTTACCATGACGCGCCCACCTAGCCTGCACATCTGTGGACATTCTGGGCAATTTAGCGTGGCCAACCCACCTAATCTGCGCATCTTTGGACTCATAGAATAGAATCCCTACAGTGTGGAAACAGGCCCTTTGGCCCAACAAGTCCACACTGACTCTCAGAGCATCCCACCCAGACCCATCCCTATAACCCACCTAATCTACACATCCCTGGACACTATGGGCAATTTAGCATGGCCAATCCACCTAACCTGCACATCTTTGGACTGTGGAAAGAAACCTGAGCACCCAGAAGAAACCCAAGCAAATACAGGGAGAATGTGCAAAATCCACACGGCTGCCCAAGCATGAAATCAAACTCTGGTCCCTGGCACTGAGGCAGCAGTGCCTAATCACTGAGTCACATGCCGCTCCGTGTAATTCACTCAGTTGTGCTGCTCAACGTAGTCTGCAGGAGAGAGTGTAGTCTACTGATGTGAGAAGTGCAAAAGTTTGATTGTGGTTAGTGTTTTCTTTTGCTATTTCCTCTGAGGTATCCTTAAATGAGTGCTTTCCATCCTCCTCTGTCTGGCTAAGTGGCCACTTAAGTGTAAAACATACACTCTTGGAGAGAACATTACAACTGGTGTTTTATTTGAACAAGTCTCGGGTTCCCACTGCCTCCCTAGCGCAGATCCAAAAACTGGTGTCAGTGTTGAGCTCAGCTATCCTGGCATTGAGCATGTAGTGGTTGGAGGGTTTTGTCAGCTACTTGCTGATTAAAGTTTAGACTTGAGTGGCAAGAGGGAGTGGGCTTTCTATTTTTTAACTTCCCCTCTGGATGGTGCATTTGGGGAACAGGATTGCTGACAGTGGGAAGTCATGGTGTGGGTGAATCATGGGTCTATTTCAATGGCCAACCTCCAATCCTTTGTGTTTTAAAAAAAAAGTTGCTGACTTTTTTGGCTTCTTTCCAATATAGTCAGTAATCTGGCTGTAATAGAAACTTGTATACACTACTAAGTTAGTTAGCCAGTTCTGAGTTTTGATTATGCTCTTATTAAATGAGGCAAAGAAAAGTCTATGGCCCTGTGCCAGGCTTAGAATTTTACACAGTGAACAGATTGCAGAGTATTTGCTGACGTCACCTCAAGCTCTAGTTCTTGCTATTTTAAAAAGGGATTCCAGGGCTATCCCCAAACTTTGTGCCTCCGAAAATTCAAATGCACGTTTGCTGTCTGTGTAAAATTCTCTAGGATTACTTTTAACTCCACCTTAGCTGGGGAGCTGAAAATTTAATTTTTCTTTTGTCAGTGATATTGGATTGTAGTTTACATATAATCCCTCTTTTTCTGCTTATCCCCTTTACCCCAATTTCCAAGAACCTGGTCTGCATACTTTGTATCCAACTTTGTGGACTTATTCCAATCCACAGTGTTTTTACAAACTTAATAATTGGATGAGTTTTTATTGCCCACCTATGGTTGCCTACGAGCAGTCGTCTTTCAGTATAAGAGAGAGGCTGGCTAGATGAGACTTAACCACATTGATATGGGTCTGGAGTCACATTTAGGCCAGTTCGGTTAAGGGCAGCAGATTCCTTCCATGAAAGACAATAGCCAGTCAAATTTTATTTACGCTAAATGGATCGTAACTTTTTATTCCAGATTTACATAAGTAACTGAAGTGAAATTTGCTGGCTGCCTGGAGTTTTGAACTTGTTTTTCCAGACTGTTGGTCCAGGATTCTAGATTACTAAATTAGTGGCTACTAGATCATGGCAGCTGACTGTCATGTTGCTTGGCATTGCGTAGCACCCCTTGAAAGTTGCTTGTCATCTTGTAGATGCTATAGTTGAAAACCTGGTTCCTGGCAAAATAGCAGACTGACGACTGATTCCCTCTATCTTCAGGCTTGTGTTTCTGCACCAGCTATGTAACTGTTTTAAGATGCTGTTTTTGCACTTAAGCAGCATTCAGCAGGGTTGGTCTTGATTCCTGCGTGTTTGGGCTTCTATTCGTTACTGACTTATCATCATTGGTAGTCTTTGACTGGCAGAGATTCTTGGCTGCAAGTAATGTATAATAACATCTTTCAGCAAATTCAGTTTTTCCTCTTCAAACTTTTTAATCTTGCCTTCATGTTGATAGTAATCTTTTGAGCTTTTGATATTTATTTGGAGGCCTCATGTCTGCCATTCTGCAGGTTTTGATAGAGTGAGTGCAAATGTTTCCACTTGGAGAGAAAAGCATAACCGGGGCCATCAATGTAAGATGGTTATCAAGAAACATGAAGTTGAATTGGGCTGTCTTTACCCAGAAAGTGGTGAGAATGTGGAACTTGCTTCCACGTCAAACGGTTGAAGCAGTTAGCATCAGTGCATTTTTAAGGAGGAAGCTAGACGAGCATAGGAGGGAGAAGGAAATAGTGTGCTACAATAATGGGTTCGCATGAAGAAAGATAGAAGAAGGCTTAGGTGGAATAGAACCAGTCTGAATGTTATGTTTCTGTGCTGTATATTTGATGTATATGCAATAATAACCTTTAATTAGACAAGAGAGATTATTGTTAGGATAATTGTTAACTTTGATCACCAGATTCCCAGTTCCCACATCCCAAAAGTAAATGTCTAATATGATCTGATTTCTAATTGTGAACTTTGTCCCTTTTTCAGTGAAGTAAGCCAGAGTGTTTTGTAAACTATAAAGGGAATTACCTTCAGACCAATTCATCTGTTGTATTAGCCACTCAGAAGAACATATCTTGGGGAGTCTCCAACGCCGGTTGTAGGTTGGGGAACCTGACCTGTGGTCAAGGTAGGTGACATTCTCCCGTTGAAATTTTGTTTTGAACATTGCATTGATGCACTAGTTTCAGCCCAGCTTGCCCTTGGGGCATTGTTTTCATTAATGCATATTTTAAAAAATCTCTGTAGCACCTTGAGCATAAATCTGTCTTCCACTACATCTGCATTTGGTTTCACTGTTTAATTTGGATAGGAATAAATGGTTTCAGGCTGATAAGATATCCTGAGTGCTGTGCTGCAGGGGTTGATGCTGAGGCCTCAACCCTTGATATACAAAATAATAATTTGAATGAAGTAGTCAAAGGTATGGTAGCTAAATTTGCTGATGACACCAAGGTAGATAGGAAAGTGAGTTAGGAAGACATAAGGAAGGAACTGACAAAGGAATAAAAGCCAGTTGAGTGGGCAAAGATCTGGCAAATGGAGAATAATATGGGAAAATGTGAAATTATCCCTTTTGGGAATTTTTAACTTTTTAAAATCTAAATGCTGAGACATTGCAAAGGTCTGAGACGCAATAAAGTGTGCATGAATTGCAGAAGGTTTATGTACAGCTATAGCATGTAAGCAGGGAATAGAATAGTATGTTATACTTTATTGCAAGGAGACGTGAATGCAAGAGGAGGGAGATTACACTTCAGTTATACACGGCATTGGTGAGACCTCATCTGGAGTGCTGTGTACAGTACTGGCCTCCATATTTAAGGGAGGATGCTGCTAATGTATAGCAGTTCCAGAAGAGGTTTACTCGATCAATACCTGGAATGAGCAGATGACCTATGGGGAAAAGACTAGACAGGCTAGGCCTGTATCCTCTGGAGCTTAGAAGACTCTGAGCTAACTTAATTGTGACTTGTATGGTCCTGACGGGCCTTGACTGGGTCAATGCAGATAAGATGTTTCCTCTTGTGGCAGAATCTAGATCTAGGAGTCATAATTTGAAAATATGAGGCCAGCCATTTCAGAGACAAGGAAGCATTTTCCCTCTGAAGGTTGAGTGTCTTTGGAATTCCCTTCCCCATATAGCAGTGGATGTAGAATCTTCCAATATTTTTAAGGCAGTGTAGGTAGATGCTTGATTACCATGAGGATGAAATATTGTCAGGGGTGTGTAGGAAAGTAAAGTTGAAGTTTAAAACCAAATCTGCCATGATCAATTTGAATGTCGGAGCAGGCTTTAACGGCCAATTGGACTACTCTGACCTTGTTTGTATTTCTGTTAGAGCTGTATTCCCTCATTTGGGTAAGATCCCTCTCTTTATAAGTTGTAAATTCTCTTTCCCCTCAATGTGCTCCATTGTTGTCAAGAATGTATTTTTTGGCCTGTCATTTTTTGTATTTGAAAACTGTGGTGCTGAGCTCCAGTTCTGTTTGCTGCGTACCTACTTTGATCAGCGCTCTTTCTTATTTTGAATTTTTATTTTATCGGTTTAGAATTATGCTCAACTAGTCAACTTTTATTTCTGCTGGTGAGACATCGGCCAGGAAACTCACCTGTTTCTCTTAGGACAGGATATTTAATGTCCGCGTGAATAGGCAGAAGATCACAGCTTCCTGAAATTGGGGTTAGGACCTCAAATGTGTTTTCAAATATCCAAGGCAGGAATGGCTGCCACAGTGTTTAGACCAAATTATAACAACTGTACTCTTCCTCTAACAGGCCTTGAGCTCTCAGACCTCAGAGCAGTTGCACTAGGTTTCACCCTTTAAAATGGGGCCATGGTGGGAAAAACTTGGGGAAGGACTAACTTAGGTAATTCAGAATTTTGTTTCAAATGCAGCACTTTTGACTGCACCACTGCAGTTCCCCACTGCCGTACTACACTGCAAGGTGTTGAAAAATACGTTATGCCAAGTTGAAGTTGAGGCGCTGAAGTGAAATTATTTCCACAGGCTTGGGAGGCTGGGACCGGGAAGTTTTAAAAATTAAAGGCTCAAGTGTAAAATTGAGAGAAATTGACACAAGTGGAGGTTTGGATCTCTTAACAGCAAATGGCATCAGATGCCAAACCAATTAATTTTAAATCAGAACTTGATAAAATTTTTGTAAAAGATGTTTGGGTGGATGGAACTGAGTCATGAATCAAATGCAGCATGGCAGAACAGACATGGGGCCAAAGGGCTTCCTGTTCTTGTTTCATTTGACCTTGGGTGAGAGCCTAAAAGAAGTCTTCTCTTTCTCCACCTCCCACCGATGACCTGAACATTCATGTTACTGTTGTAATTGAGTCAGAGTGTTACAGCATGAAAATAGGTCATCAAGCACCTATCTATTCTAATTCCATGGCCCAGCACTGCCCCACAGCCTTGTATGCTTTGGTGTTTCAAATGTTCATCTAAATACTAAAATTATTCCTGCTTCCACCCCCTTTCAGGCAGAACATTACAGATACCACACCACCCAGTTCCCCTTAAATCCTCTCTCAACTTCTAAT